TCACACCACAAGTCCATAGTCCCTGGGTCACCAAACCCAATTTCTCTAAGAAGATGTCTTGTCCATATGAGCTCACACGTAACTTGTGCCATAGCCCGATACTCAGACTCTGCGCTTGACCTAGCTACAACAGGTTGCTTCTTACTTTTCCAAGAAATAAGATTTCCTCCAACAAAAACACAAAACCCAGTCACAGACCGTCTATCCACAGAGGATCCTGCCCAATCAGCATCTGAAAAACCTTCTACCTTATTATGACCATGGTCACTGTAAAGAATCCCACGTCCAGGGGCTCCTTTTAGATATTTCAAAATATGGAGGACCGCATCCCAATGAGATGTCCTAGGAGAAGACATAAACTGACTCACCACACTCACTAAAAAAGCAATATCTGGACGGGTTACTGTAAGGTAGTTTAACTTTCCAACTATCCGTCTGTACCTCTCTGGATCACCAAACATATCTCCATCCTCAGCATTCAATCTCACATTAGGAACCATAGGAGTGTCACAAGGCTTAGCCTCACTTAGACCCATTTCGGTCAACACATCTAACACATACTTGCGTTGAGAGAGAAAGATCCCTTTCTTACTCCAAGAAACCTCAACTCCGAGAAAATACCTTAAAGCACCCAAGTCCTTTGTGTGAAATTTGGAAGCCAAACAGTTTTTCAAACTCTGAATGCCAACATCATCACTGCCAGTGATTACAATGTCATCAACATAAACAACCAAAAGAATGATACCAGAACTAGATTGCTTATAAAAGACAGAGTGATCATAAGCACTCCCATGTAAACCAGACTGAGTCACCACTTCGCTAAACCTCCCAAACCACGCCCGTGGAGATTGCTTTAAGCCATATAAAGATTTCCTCAGTTTGCATACCTTTCTTGACTCCCCTTGAGCAACAAACCCCGAAAGTTGCTCCATGTAAACCTCTTTAAGAAGATCACCATGTAAAAAGGCATTTTTTAGATCAAGTTGGTGAAGAGGCCAATGATATGAAGCTGAAAGAGAAATGAATAGTTGGACAGAGGTCATTTTAGCCACTGGGGAGAATGTCTCGGAATAATCAATACCATACGTTTGGGCATAACCTTTAGCAACCAAACGAGCTTTCAATCGAGCCACGGTCCCATCGGGATTAGCCTTCACTGTGAAAACCCATTTGCACCCAATAGCCTTTTTATTTTCAGGCAACCCCATTAGAACCCATGTATCATTATGTTCTAGAGCCAACATCTCTTCTTTCATAGCTCGTCGCCACCCATCATGAGCAATTGCTTCAGACGCAGAGTTGGGAACAGACACAGAGTCTAAAGAGGCAATAAAAGACTTGGAAGATGAAGATAGAGAGTGATAAGAAACAAATGAGGAGATAGGATAGGTACAAGAGCACTTACCTTTACGAAGAGCAATGGGAAGATCATGATCATGGTCAGAGGATAGAGGAACCGGATCAGAGGACGAGGCAGTCGATAAGGGTAGTGGATCAAATGTTGCTACAGGTGTCTCATAGTGCTGGTGAACCCTGCGAGAGTATGCCTGGGTGATAGGAGGACAAGATGGTAGATGACTATGATGGATAATGTAGTAAACAAGAAGTTCATCAGGGGGTGCTTCAAGAGAAGTAGATGAGGTGGAAGACTCAACATATGGAGTGGTTTCAAAAAAGGAAACATCAGTTGAGATAAGGTACTTACCTAGGACAGGAGAAAAAACAACGATAACCCTTCTAATATCGGGAATAACCCACAAATATGCACTTGAGGGACCTAGGTTCAAATTTGGATACATGAGGTCTAACATCTTGAACAAAGCACGTGCACCCAAACACTTTAGGAGGAAGAGAGAATAAAGGCTATGATGGAAAGAGGATGGAGAACAGGATTTGACCACCCAAAACAAAAGAAGGCATGCGATTGATCAAGTGACATGCTGTAGAGATAGCATCTGCCTAAAATTCTGTAAAGACTTTCATGTGAAAAAGGAGAGTACGAGTGACTTCTAATAAATGACGATTTTTGCGTTCAGCAACTCCATTTTGCTAAGGTGTATAAACACATGATGACTGATGAATAATACCTCTAGTAGACAAAAAGGAAGAGAAAGGAGCATAAAAGTATTCTTTGGCATTATCACTTCTGAGAATTTTAATAGATGAAGTAAATTGATTTTGTATTTCTGTATAAAAGGTAAAAAATATGAAGAATATTTCAAAACAATTTTTCATAAAGTACAACCAAGTTACACGTGAAAAATCGTCCACAAAAATAACAAAATATCGATATCCAGACTTTGACAACAAAGGGCAAGGACCCCAAACATCAGAGTGTATAACATCAAAAGGGGTTGTGGCTCTTTTGTTTATCCTAGGGCTATAGGACACTCTATGGTGTTTTCCAAACTGACACGCCTCACACTCAAGGTGTGACACTGACCCTACATTAGGACACAACCTTTTCAAAATGGGAAGGGGAGGATGACCAAGGCGACCATGTAGTATGGGTAGAGATGAATCACTGGTACACGCAACAAGTTGAGAGATAGGAGTGGAGACATCATCGAGCATATACAGGCCACCTAATACACGACCCCTACCAATAATCCGCCTCGTCCCAAGATCCTGAAATATACAATGAATAGGAAAAAAGTAAACACCACAATTGAATGCATTAGTAATTTGACTAACTGATAAAAGATTAAAGGGAAAATGGGGAAGGCACAAGACAGAAGAAAGAGACATAGATTTGTTGAGATGGGCGGTACCACATCCAATGGTAGGTGCAGTAGACCCGTTAGCTAAGGTAACCGAAGACAAATTGGGAGAAGGTGTAAATGAGCAGAGAATACCTGTATCGCCTATCATATGGTGGGTAGAACCAGAATCAATGACCTAGTTACTACTAGAAGTGGACAAGCAGGCTGTAGGATTACCTAACTGGGTTAAAGTAGTGGTGGTCAATGGGATGGATGACTGGGAGCAAGAATTCTGAGTGAGACGAGCATATTCTGCTGTAGAGATAGTAACCTGTGATGGGGTGGGTAAGAGACCATCTTGAGTTACAACATGAGCAAACTTTTGAGTGTCTTGCATATTCAGGGGCTTGCCATGAAGCTTCCAATAATTTTTCTTTACGTGACCCTCAGCACCACAGTGAAAGCAAGTACGAGGGTCATTACCACGATTGTTCCTAGGATCACGACTTGTCCCTTCGTTACCTTTGCTATCACCAGACTTCATGCTAGCTAGGGCTGCATGATCAACATTAGGATCCTTGAGGGTTTCTTTGTCCTTAGACACTCCTCGATCTTCCCCTTTACTAACTTTGAGAAGGCGAGCAAAGACATATGTACGAGAGAGAAGTGTCTCACCAGTAAGAAGTTGTGTACGAGCTATCTCATATTCCAGTCTCAACCCAGCCAGAAAACATTGCACAACCACTTGTTCTTCTTGTGCTTGCATCATTTTCACGTCAGTAGGAACAGGAAACATAGCCCTTTTTTCTTCAAAGGCTCTTTTTATCTCTGTATAATATTCGAGCAATGTCTTCTCTTACATATTTGCTCGATATATCTTTAATAACAATTCGTGGGCATGAGACAAGTCTTGTTTACCAGCATACAAGAACTCTAGATACTCCCATAACTCCTTGACTATATCACAGTGACCAATCACATCATCCACGAACGAATCAAGAGTGTTCTGAATCTGATTGAAGAGCTTATCATCTTCCATGAGCCATCTTTTTCGAGTTTTACTATCATCTTCTGTTTCCTCAGGTGGATCCTCAATTAAATGGTCTCCCATATCAATGTTGGACACATATCGTCGGATTATCCGCTTCCATTGAATATAATTCTTTTTTCCCAATAATTTTCGATTAGTAATTTTGGTGAAGGAAGTGACAATTTCAGTCACCATCTTCTTACCATCCGCGGCCATACTGTCTAGCAAATAACTCGTAACTCCACAGATTCACAACAATCCCAACACCAAACAACCCAAGCAAACAGAACAATTCCACCGATTCCCAACAATCCCAACACCAAACAACCCAAGCAAGCACAACAACTCAAACCACCAGGATTCAGAACAACTCTGGTATCACATTTTCAACTCCAAGCCAACACAAAGCATTCCCATTTTCACACAAACACAGAGCCATATTTCAGACAAAAAACATGCAAAAATTTTCTACACCAAACCAACAATCAGAGAAGAGCGATTTACTACACCAAACCAACACTCAGAATCAGCACTCGCCAGAAAAAAAAAGGAAAACAATGAAGAACAGCGTCAGACGTCGTCGAAAAACAAAAACACGTCGCCAGAAAACAGACACAGAGGTCAGACGTCGTCGAAAAACAGAAGGAAGGGATCAGACATCGTCGAAAATCGCAAGGGAGGGGTCAGACGTCGCCGGAAAACATAGGGAAGGGGTCTGACGTCGCCAGAAAACGCAAGGGAGGGGTTTGACATCGCTGGAAAATGCAAGGGAGGGGTCTGACGTCGACGGAAAACCTAGGGAAAAAGCCAGCACTCGCCGGAAAACTGAATCACGCAAATGGGTTTAGGGTTTACGCGTTTCAGGCTCTGATAGCAAGTTATCTTCTCTATTTCACTTAATGTCAACAGTACACCCTAACTTAAATATATACACACTCAATAATTACAAATATACCCTTTACCCTTTACCCTTTACACTATATATATACACATAGTTTCCAACAGCTACAAACTAACGTCAATTATCTTGCAATTTCACAAGCAAACAAAGATAATACTTTTGACTGTCTAACAGGTATCATATGCCACTATTAAAGTTCCTGAAAGACTAATCCACTAACAAGCAGAATTGTCAAGTGTCTAAAACTTTTAATGATCAAAACATCAGGTAAGATCTAAGATACCAAATATTCTCTTAGCTAAAGTTTCAATAACAAGGCATGCAATGAGTCATATGCTAACCAAGCGAAACGTGTTACTTACTCATGTATGCACATAATACTGGCAATCAAAATTACCACTGTACCTGCTTTATCATCCACTCCTTAACAGTTAAACCATCTTGGGCTTCAACATAAGCTTGTCCACCAAGAATTGCAGGAAGAAGTCCAATCGCAAACTTGACTTTCTCGGGCCAAATCAACATTTCCTTATTCCTTAAAATCGCCCATATTCCTTACAGTTACATTCAAAATGTAGAGTCAAAATGAATAAGCATTAAATGTGTAGCATAAGTGAAGAAATTCCATCTAAAAAAACAAAGAGAGATAATATGTAAACTCTGGAAAAATATACTGCAAAAATTGTGGAAAATTGAAGAAATTTAAATTTTGAAAAAAAATAAATATATATAAACGACATTAACAACCAAAAGTTAGCATTGAAGTTGTACAACTACAAAGATAAGTGATGAACCCTTCAATTCAGCATTCTTCTTTCTCTTATTCATGAGATTTGGTAGGTTGTATTGCGCAGATTATTCTTAATTTCCTTGTTCAATGAGAAGTATTCTTCATTTCCTTGTTCAATGAGAAGGTTTAACTTGTAAATCTCTGTTCATAAGTTAAACTTCTAGTTCACCTTTACTAATAACATTTTAATGAATTAGTAACATGTTTTGTTTCTTATAATACATATATTGATTATGGGGCCACTATGTCATAGACATGGTAGGAAGAATTGAACTTGTGTTCAAATATTTATCAGGTAATAACTGCATAAACCAACAAGCCAATTTACTCTTTGTTTCCAATCTTGGTTCTTCAACATGCATTTCCAGATCTACGTAAAGAGCACATATCTTTTTTTTTAAGAAGAAGCAGAACATAACTTCAATTAAAAATGGTCAAGAAGTTTCCTATTTTTCTTTAGTGGTGGGTACAAGTATCTAACCATTTACAGGAGCTGGCAGAACTTCAGGAAAATCAAATCGGCTGAATTCCCCTGGCTTGTTTGGCGTTGCAAATATCATTGAGTGCTCCTTCCACTGCAATCGATCATTGAGACTAAGTTCTCCGAACAGGTTCTGTATATTTGGGTAAGCCCCAACTTGCCAGCAAGAAAAGAAAATATTTATCAATTAAAAGGAAATGCATAAGATTAGCCCTACTTTGAGAAAGGAAAAGACAAAAAGGTGACTTCGTCAAAGTTTGTTATTGCAACATTCAAAAAACTGCGTAAGGTAAAAGATACCCACTAGATCATCACTACGAAGTGAAAGTGCATCAGAACTTATTAAGACATTCATAACATCAAAAGAACAATCACTAGAAGACAATAATGAAGTTGTTGAGTCAAACATCAAAGACATCAGCAAACAAGAATTAGTTTCTAAACTTACATAATTTATCCGAGTAAAAAATGCAGTAGAACTTAGGAATGATGGTTAATAGAAAATAATGTTGTAGCATCACGAACTAAAATGATAATACAAAAAAATAATAATTAAAAGTAATATAAAAGAAAATATATCAACTCATAAAATATATGCAGGCCTGTCTCATACCAGTCCCCATCATCATCTTTACAGGCAGCTACCTATAAGGAAAAAGACCAAAGTTTAATGTTGAGTGACAAAGAAATCGAAAAGATAAAACCCTGCATTACATATGGATATCAAGAAGGAAACAAAAATTATCATGCAATTGTGTCCATCCTTGCTCCTATAAACAGAAAAGTACTAACGCCACAATATCAACCAGAATGAAAAACTTCTTCTAGATTTTCATCCATATAAAAATCGCCTATTTTTCAATGATGCTGAAAAAAGACCTCTCTTCTAATCACTAACTAGCAAGCTTTTGTAAGTTTCTAGAAGTTAACAAAAGACTAAGAAATCAACAGAAAAGTATACATATATATCTTTAGTTTGGCGTCAACTAATTGGAAAGTGGTAAAGATAAAACAACACAAAAACCTTTCCACCTAGAACATCTCTTGCTTCTAGTAACAAAGGTTGGTGACCCGCATCTGCCAGATATTTTGCAGTTGATAAACCAGCCAAACCTGCGATAAATTTGAAAATTAGAAGTTTCAATATAACATAAATAAGAAAAACTTTTTAAGACAGAAATGGGAAAGATGGAAAGTTTATTTTAGTTTAAGTAGTGTAAAAGCTTTTGGCTAAAGTGTCACCAGAATAACAGAGGATTATGTCAGAAGATTGTCTTGGATGCTCAAATTGCACTGTCCACAAGCAAATTTGAGAACCTTTGCTAACAGATTCAAGGATTAAGTAGTTCCCATAGTACATATTTGAAAAAAAAAAATTACAATGGTGACCACAGGGGTTTTAATTTATCTGTTGAGGAGATGGGCCCCACAGAGAAGATACCAAAGTGAATATTCTGTCTTGAAGCAATCTTGTTCAGAAGACAGTTTGACTAAGATGAGTTGGTTCCAATAGGGAACTTTAGTTTTGCTAATTCTAGGAAATACAATGGGTATGCAGAGCCGGTGCTCTTTCATTAATTTAGACCTGCCTTTTGGTTCTACTTTGAATATAATGTCAGTGCTGCATTCAATTATCCAAACCCATGAGAACAAATTGACTAGGTGGAAGAAACATTATCTTTAAGGTGGCCAGCTCACTCTAATTTGAGTGTTCTCTCAAGTTAACCAACGTACTTTATGTCATTATTCTAATTTCTGACATTTGTGGAGTCAACACAAGTCACCAAGGAACTTTTCACAAAATGGTTTAATTCATAAGTCAAAACTTCAATGTGTAAATGCGCATAAGTTCATATCCTATTTGAAATAGGGTGTTTTGTCATTATTCTAAGTTGTTAAAACTATCTTAACAGGGTTGGCCTATTTCATTAGCAGTATTTCTGATCTTTAACTTCTTCCCATAGAGGAAACACTATAAGAGATAACAGAACTTTCACTTCAGACTAGCTGATCTTTCTGGGTGCATCTTTTGAAAGAGTTTGACCAAAGGAAAACAGAGACCAAGATTCAAAAAGATTAGGGAACCTAGCTCCCTTGACATGCTTACACTAAATTATGAGCACATTTTCATAAAAAAAATAGTCAGCACAACCATAAATATACTCCCTCATTTCTATGCAGCATCATCTACAGTTTGGGAAAACCCCATAACTTATGCCATTAAGACATATGCTTCCGTTAGCCTGGAAACAAGAAAAACAATGCCAAGCCATATAGAGTTTACAAGTAGTGAAATGGAGTTTAAGATTTGTAGTTAACTCTGAAGACCAACTAAATTCTACTAACAGTTAGCCGGGGAAAATAAATCCATCAGAATCTTAAAAAGTACAAAATGTCTGAAATGAAATCATTTGTTTTGATTACTTACTAACTATGGTTTTCGGTATAATATTTGCTTTAATTTCACTGAATATTGCTCTTAGAAAATACGTTTTTATTCATAATTATGTTAAATTTCCAAACATAAAGCATGAGGATTCTAAAACATGAACAAAACAAAACTGAGTGAGATAAAAGGAGAAAACACGCCACCTGCACCAGCAATTACAACTTTCAAAGGCTTGGTTGGACGAGGAGAAGCACGAAAGGAAGAAGATAAGTAAGCAGCTTCCAAGAAATTAGTTGTATTATCAATATCCGGTCTCGGATAGTCCACACAAGCTACCTGTAAAAATTAGGTCAAGTTTAGAACTTCATAATTCAATTTAACAAATCAAAATTAACCATTTAAAATTACAAACGAACCTGCAAAGGATTGTATCCCTTCCTAGGAGTTGTTTTAACATGAATTTTGATGGCCTTACCCATCAATTCACTCCCGTGAAACGCCATTAAAGCACTTGCAGAAGCACTTCCACACAAGGTGAGGCTCATTTCTTTGTTAGTGAAAGAACCTGAATTTGTTGGTGGAAGCTGAGAGAAGTTAAGTAGTTATTGCGATAAGTATAATATAAATATAAGGCGTGGTGATAAAATGAGATCGTCGTGGCGTTGGAGGTTTGCTTAAATTTGGGAACGGGAATATTCTGCTTAATTCACCACGGTTTTTGGTTATGGAGCCAAACACGCGTAACTTAACACCGCATTTTCGATATTTTAAGCAAGGTTCTGAAACCGACTTGGAGTGTCTCTCGACCAAGGGGCTAGGTCTCAGGGTTGCCCAGTTCGATCGGTTAAACCAATGGTCTAACTTGTGATCTAATAAGTTTGAAATCTTATAAACACACTCTTAAAAACTACGCAAGAGTTTTTATAGGTCTGAAATCTAGTAAATACACTCATGTGATCTAACCCTAAATTGATTTTCCCGACCAAATTATGGTTGATTCTAATAGCCAAATTTTAATTCGACATCACCACCTGAATCACCGTCCTCCACTCTACAAAACCCCTCTAATTCCATAACTTGTTAGCCCCCCATTAGCCGGCCATGACTCTCGAACACCGTCGTGATTGGATTGATTTTTCTGACCAAATTGCAACTAATTTTGACGTCCAAAATTGAACATGACACCACCACCTAAACCACTGGCCTCCACTCTACAAAACTCATCTAACCTTGGCATTTAGTAGCCCCTTGTTCGTTGGCCGTGACTCGTGTATTGGTTGATTTTTTCGGCCAAATTTTGGCGAACTTCGGCTTCCAAAATTTAATCCAACACCACCCCTTGAACCATCGGCCTCCACTCTACAAGACCCCTCTAACCCCGGCACTTGGTAGCCCATTGTTCAATGACGATCAAATTAGGGATTTTGTGAATAGTTAAAAATGGTAACCTGGACCAGAGAAGGCGCCAATCACCAATCAGAGCAGTCCGACCGACCGATCCGGTTTTCAGAACACTGATTTTAAGGCTTGCTAATTGGGTTCTCTTAATTCACCATTACCAGTTAACTCAAACATTAGTTCAACTTCACCAATGAGGTAAGGAGAAAATTTAGCTGCCCTGTACAGTATTTTAAATATAAGGCGTATGATCTAAATTTTAATTAAATAAGGTAAATTGAATATGATATTAATGTAAATTTGTTTTTAAAATAGGGTATTATTGTCCAAAATTTTTATTAATAAGGTATAAATTGTAACAAAAAAAGATAACCCTGGTAATCTCAGAAAACCTAAGAAAATAGAGGTATCAGATTACCTCTTATATTACCTATACCTTATTGGTATTTGAAGATTACTAGTATCTTATATTACTTGACAACTAAACATGTAATCAAGTAATATAAGATGAATTACCCCAGTAATGCCACTTAACCCCGAACCAAACTGCCCCTTAAGGTAAAATAGATTGCTTTTTCAATCCTATTTGTAATTTTATTCGATGATAAAATTGTAATATAAATATATTTTATAAATTGATCCAATCAGATAAAGAGTTATCTTATTGTAATACAAATTATCAAATGACTTGAATGAAAAGCTAGATTAAACTATTTAATGTTAACTAAATAATTTTTAAGCTATTGGATTACTATGAATTAATAATCATGGATTTTTTTTTACAAATTTAAGTCAATCTTTGTTATAATAGCTTGACCCATTGGCGAAGCTCAATAACATCACTCTTTGAGAAGGTTTTATCAATATTCTAAGTCCTAAATTGGTGTATACGTTTAATACTAAAGTTACCAACAATTTATAATTTAACAAAGTTTCATATAATTAATACAGATACAATCAACTAATCTTGTGACTGGTGCATCTATATACAAACATAATATTTAATATTTTTATAATTGATTGATTGTATATACATCTTTTATAGAACTTCTTTTCTTTTTGGACAAAATGATGGAGATTACGCAATGTAAAAAATAATTTATGAACCAATCTTTATTGAAAAACTAATAGCTAAAAGATTGGGGGATGAAGATTAGAAACTTCAACAATTTTATCGTGTCTAAGCGCTAACTTGACCACGCCTACGCCTCTAAGCTTATTCGCTTAGCGTCATAGACCCTCACCTTGATACCAATTGAGTATTGATCCCATTGTATTATCCTAATGAAAGTAGAAGCGATTGATATCATCTCCCCTCTCAAGGCAATGATATTATACTCCAAATGATCATTACTTAAAATCAGAGAGAAAACATGAAATGTTCATTTGGAAATAGATTCACTATTAAAGAATCGACAAGTTCTTCCTGTGTTTCTTTTTTATAAGTTAAAAAATGAATCTCTATCTTATATGTTAATTACAATTGATATACAATCGTCACTCATCTTTCAACAATTTTGCCTCCAATTAAAGGGCATTTACGCGAATGCTTGCCTCAGCCAATCTTCCTTTTGGTCGTGCAACAAGCGCTCAAAATCCTGCATATTTCTATAAATTAGGGCTGACCACATACCAAACTAGACATAAACTCTACCTGTGCTTCATTTTACTTATCTACTTTTCAAATCTTTCATATTCCTATCAACTATATTCATTACCTTACACTAACAATCAATACCTTGTGCGCTCCCCCCTCAATGCTAAAACAGTTTTGCTTAGTTGTAGCTTTCGCACAAAAAAATTCTGCCAAGGCCATTTTTAAGGAAGAAATTGTGGTAATGAAAGACAGCAGATAATAAACGTTTTGACCGGACAAAATGTACCTGTATGATAGCTTGAGCACAAAGCTTTCCTGACAACACTGCACCTTCCACGAAGCCAGATACTTCTGTTTTGTGTAATCCCCAGCTAATAGATCCCTCTATTGGAGATCTTTGTAAGGGACGACAAGGTTCACAATTTGGGACAGTCTTGTACACAGACCTGAAATAATAAGTTAGGCTTTGAAAATGGACAAATCAATGAAGTACAAGAATGGAAATCTTTGATGTGTTATTGACAATCGTTATGACACTACATGTAGAAGCATTTGCTAAAGGTTAAACAATATATAGTAGTGAAAAGTACTAGGCAGGATTGACAAATTTTGAATTAGTTGAAAAATCAAATTAGACTGCTGTCTGTTGTCCAGCACTAGATACCATTAGCCCTTCTATCATGGCATAACAATATGCAAGAGATCGTCCACTTTTCATCTTATGTTCTTAAATGTCTTACAAATGTAATCAATTTCACCCTTATAACATCAAGAACTTCTCATTCCCAGGCACTAAGGGATGTACAACCACCTTACTAGGGACCAAAGAGTGTCTTTGCTTGCAAGACCTTCAAAAGTTTTTTTTGCACATCACCTCCACATCCAACTGGGTTTAATTACTATCTACTATGAGCCAAACTATGTTCGATAATGTTTAATTTGAATCCCAACATCATTCTGCAGTCAAGATCCACAAGACTTTGTTTTTGGATTTATTACCCAAAACAGGTATGCATATGCAAGCAACTTATCCCAAGAAAAATAAAAAACTTCTCTTCCTGGCTGATGTATGATATCACAATCAAACCCTCTTGCAACCCAACCTCCTTGCTTGGAAGACCCTCGGATATTTTTTTTTGCATGTCCACACATTTCTGATATCAAGCAACTTGCTCCCTTAAAAAATCAAAAAGTTCTCTTCCTGGCTGATTTATTTTGTCACAATCAAGCCCTCTTGCATCCAAGCGTCCTGCTTGTAATACCCTTAGAGAAACTTGTTCACACCACCGACACTTCGATCGGGATTGGCCTTAATGCCATCTATCTACTCACAATTTACAAGACGTCTACTTTTAATCTCAGAGTTATTTCGCACTAAAAGAACTGTGCAGTTTTTTGTTTGAGCTTTTATAACCCAACATGTGTTTTAAGATGTAAGCAACTTCATCCCCTATTACATCAGAGACTTCACAAGTAATGTGGGATGTCACAATCACCCAATCAGAAATTCCTTTCCCAATCCATGCGGATGTCACAAATTCAAGTGATATTGAGGTAATTTGTTGCATCAACAAAAACTTACTATGTTATAAATCTAGGATTGGACCCTTTGAAATTTACAGAAATGTTAAAAGGTTGGCCATCTACCTTGGTGTTTTTACAACATGGTACTTCACAATTTTTGCTTTGCTTTGATCAGCAGAAATTTCGTCAGGAAAGAGTTTAGCAAGCTCCTTCATTGTCCATCAATTATTTCTGAGTCACTGCATGAGATCCATTCTTCAGCAGGGGCAAAAACTAACTCCAGCATGGATTGGTTAGGGTTGTATATTCCTACATAAACAAGGAATCGCGAATTAACCACTTTATGCATAATCAAAGAAAGATGCAGTTAATGCAGTTGGTCTGTACTTTGAATAAGAAAACTGGGTAAAAAGATAGACATCGACTTATATACTGTCCACATATTCACAGAGAAGAGCATACAATTAACTGTCAATATCCATTTTTTCCTAAATATTAAACATAACAGGTTAGTTCCTCATGTGGTGCCTAACCAGCCCAGCTACCCATGCTTGCAATATGTTAAGCAAAAGCTGACCATTACCAGGTCAAAATTTAAAAGTTTATGTTGTTTCCCACTAATCAAGGGTAGGGTGTGGGTAGAAATAATGAATTTAAAGGTACAGGCCAACAAAAATGCTGTGGTTAATATACATGCGTTCAACAAGGAGGAGAAAATAGCCAACAGGGAGTCAATAAATTAGAACTTTACCTTACATGTTACAGACATGTCAGCGTACACACTCAATAAGGACTTCTGTAAAAGGAGACGCACAGATGAAACTCAATACAGAACCAAAAAGCAATATTACTAGTACTGTAAGATAACATCAAGCAGAAGCTAAGAAAAACTCTTCTTCAACCATGGGCAACCAAAAGGCATTAAGATAGTCCAATTACTATTAGCTTGTAACCAATCTGCATTGAATCGCTAATGACTATTGCACAAACAGCACTGAATTAAGCATAAACTAAGAGCAGGACCTGCTGAAGAGTAGTGATCATAGGTGTTTTTAGTTTCCTGTCGACCTGCAGATGAAAATAATCTGTATCAGTTAACCACTGGACTCAGATTTAGCTCTCACTAATGACTAACTATAGAAATGAAGTTGCCAACAATTCCCAAAGATAGCCGATTACATACGATAAAATCCTTGACTGTTCAAAGAAGGATGAGAATTCTTTGTCAATCAGTTAATAGCAGCAAATGTAATGAAATTGAAAGTAAATAATGAAGAAAAGAGTGATGAATTGATAATATAAAAAGCAAT